GCAGCAGCAGCAGCAGCAGCCTTTTCTTCCCACAAAGCCTTTCTCCACTCAGCCCCCCATTTATCATATCAGCAGTGCTGAGGAAGGAAGAGGAAACTAAGCAGGCAAGGAAAAGGAGAAGAGACTCAGTGCGGAAGCAGAATAAGGAGGAAATAATGGGTGCATCACCGTCTTTCCCATGTGGTACCTTCCAGATGCGTGGGAGTATAATTCACATCAGCCCCAACTATCATGCTCTTTCTTCATGCAGACCTTTTCTGAATTTTTTTTCCTCTTTTCTCTTTAACTGCATGCAGTTTATATATTAGTTTAATGTAGTATTGTTACCGGGTTCCTTGAGAAATGCTTTTGCATGGGAAGCCATATAAAGCATTATTCAATAATGCACCAACTTTCTCCACATTATTTGTGCTGTTTATGGGAACCCAGAGTGAAGCCCACGTATTGCATTCTCCATGCGTTAAGGAACGAACCCCTATCCCCTAGGTATGCAAGGCTAATAGTATATGTAACAGGCCCATCCAGGAAAGAAAGGTTAACCAAAGCTTCAGTGTAGCAGCAGAGAAGGAAAGGGCATCTGATTATCAAACCCCAGTTCTTATCCTGCAAAAGAGGCTATACAAATATGAATGGTTTAATGGTGATGATAGTTAAAGTGAATACTCTAAGTCCACCTCTTTATGGTAAGAGAATGGAACCAGAGCAATATGTCAGCAAGAACTTGCAATCACAGCCACAGCTCATTGTTTCTAGAATTGCCCAAAGGATGCCTTGCCAGGAGACAGATTTGCTTCAGACAACCCTGTGTAGACATCCTTAGCAACCTCCCCTGAGTCTCTTGCCTCCTTCTACCTGTCTCTTCCATACAGCTGTTGCCTCCACAAGGGCTGCTTCAAGCTATAAGACATCATACAGGCAGGTTAACAACATATGAATAGGCTACTCCTATCAGAAGAACAAACCAGCACTGACCCAAGAAACATAGTAGATGTATGGCAGGTTGTGAGAGGAGGAATAGGTCCCATAAATTTCTCCCATCCTATCATCTTTTCCAAATCTCAGCTTCATCCCGTGTGTGTGTGTGTTTGTGATTTCAACACAGTTCTGCACAGCACATATTGACCAGGCTTCCTACTGTGTATAAGTATGATGAGAACTGACAAAATACATAATTTGATACTGGGTGAAAAAGCATAACGTAACTTGTTCTTTTTTTCCCCAGGCAGACATGATAGTCCTATATAACTACTGGATCACCTTTATTTTAAAGAGCAGATGAGTTCATCATATAATACTGTGAGCCTGCCTCTGTCTTTCCTGCATTCTCCATCTCGCAGATAGCACGTGCATGAGTGACTGCAGGCAGGATACCTATTTGTATGACCAGCTCATAAATGTGGTGGGGAAAGCAACTTTTTTTTTTCTTTTCCCCATAAAACTGCAGACAGTTTCCCTCCCTTAAGATTCCCGGTTTCCAGGAATGAGGCTCCGTACACCAAATAAGCACACACGGATGCAAGAATCACACAACAACACGTAACAAATCGTCCAGCTGTCGACTGCACTTGAGAACGCACTGGGGTCACTCACGTGTCTCCATCCTCAGATAGGAAAGCAAAGGTGTCCAGCAGCTGCTGCCTCAGCCTTTCTTCCTCTTCCTCCTCCTCCTCCTCTTCAGGGTGAGGCGCCCCTTCCAGCCCCGCCAAGGACTCCACAAGAGAAGAAGAGCCGTAACTCGAATCGAGTCTCTCCTCCGATGATTCCTCTTTGCCTTGACCGGAAGGAGCGGGCACTTTGTCCAGCGGGATCCCTCCGGCAGTCGGGGACCGGGGCTCTCCTTCCCCCGGCTGGCCGTGCAGGGAGCGGATGATACCGATACCCGAGTCGCACTGCCCTTCTTCCAGGTACGCGCCGCCGCCGCCGCCTTCCACCTGCATTTCTTTCTTCTCCGCGGAGCTCCGAATCCCCGACATGGTCCCCAGCGCAGGAAGCGGCGAAGCTCTCCCCTCAAGCGCCGGCAAAAGAAACACGGGGCGCTGGCGTTTAGAAGCCCGGCACACGCAAAGTCCGAAAAAACGGAGAAAGTGAAAACCCCGGAAGGCTCATGCCGAGCACGGCGCAAACCGGAGCCTGGACAGAAATGGCAAGCAAGAACTGCCCGCTCCGCCTGGGTTCCTCCCAGCTGCACCGCAATAAAGTCCGCCTCCTCCCCCCAGTGGAAACTATGAATCCACAGACGCCACCTAGCGGTGCGTGGGAAAACAGCTTCCTCCTCCGCTCGCCCTGGAACGCGCAATGTCTGCGGCGAGGTTACACTTGCCCACTCTTCAGGAGACGCCGAAACGGAGCTGTTCCCGACAGCATTCGTGCATCGAGACGACGCCATCGAGGTTGATTGTGCTGAGCTGAGTCTGAGGTCGGGTGATTATCAACGCCCAAAAGTTTTGCAGTGTTCTACCAGCTCCTTCCGGCTATACCTCTAATCATTGCTGTGTTATTTCTGTAAGCCTTTTTATGAAGAGTGTTAGCAATTTGGGGGGTGTCTTATTCTTGTTCATCATTTTACTATGAATTCTTTTTAATCTTTTCTTTCGATTAGAATGTATTGTGAGTGTTTTGTTGTTTTCGTTTATCATGGATGTTTGAATGTTATGGAAACTTTGATGTCATTATTAACAGCCGGACGTCTTGACTGAATTATGGCTCTCACTAAATGGAATGAATGAATGAATTAATAAATAAATGTGGGGCAACAGCAGACATTAGAAAGCAACCCAGCTTGGCAGTTTCCAGA